TAAACAACTCCTGCATTTAGTTCTACTAAATCTGAAAACTACTCCCGATTAGGGGACATATGATAGGTGTAACCCGAATATAATATCCATTCATCTGAATGGAATGTTATTGATGAAGCAACCAATGATATGTCAGAGTCATTTGCATCATGCTCTGCAACACATGGATCTGGAGCAGATTTTCCTTTCTTCTTCAACTTCGGACAATCTTTCTTCCAATGACCTTTCTCATGACAAAAGGCACATTCATCTTTTCCCAGTCTGGACTTCGACTTTGATCTCCCTCTCCACTTTGGCTTTTGACTTTTCGAGTGACCTCTTGCCACCATAGCCTCCGCTGTTTCGTACTTGCTCTCCTTCTTGGTTTTCTTCATGTGCTTATAACTATACAAAGCAACAGTTACATCTTTAAGGGTAACATTATCCTTACCAAGAAGTAGTGTTGTCTCAAGGTGCTCAAATTCATCTGGAAGAGATGACAACAACATCAAGGTCAAATCTTCATCTTTGAAGGTTTCATCCATGCCCAATAAGTCTGTCACTAGCTCATTGAACGCAGTGATGTGTTCATTCATACTGGTGTCTGGTTGATAATCAAATCTGAACAATCTTTTCTTCATGTGGAGACGATTCTGAGAGCTTGTCTTTAGGAATTTTTCCTCCAATGCTTTCCACATCTTACTTGCAGAAGTCTTGTTCTTGTAGTCATACTTCTGCCCTCTGGAAAGACAAGATCGAATTGTGTTGCACGTCAAACGATTGATTGTTCCCCATTCTTTCTCCTCCATATATTCGGGCTTTTCTTCCTCAATGGCGATGTCTAGACCTTGTTGGAATAAATCGTCTAACACCTCGCCTTGCCATATGCCAAAATGATCGGATCCATCGAACACCTCCACCGAGAAATTTGCATTTGACATCATCCTCCTCACCGGTCCGGATGAAGAGCTTGATATATCACCTGATCCGTATTTTGGCATTTTAATTCCAACGAACAATATTCAATAGCACGAATTGTATCTTTTCAGCAACGAAACCACCAGGATAACCTCAACCGAAGCTCTGATGCCAATTGTTGGGGAAATCGGGTTATTTACCACACGAACGTAGTTTCAAAAATGACCTAAAATGTCAAGATCAAAACCACCAAAGGTTGCACAGCGGATAAACCTGTCAAACTATTGAATATTGAAACACAATGGAAAAACCGAATAAAAACAATAAAGGAGATAACACACCAAATTTACGAGGTTCGACGAGAATATCGTCTACTTCTCGGGCACCACACCGGATGATAACTTCACTATATCGCAAATATTACAACAAATGGAATTCTTTAGAATTCCCAATGTGGGAGAATGAAGAATACAAGAGGAAGAGAGAACTTGTTTTTTTGGGATGATTTCTAATGAAATACTTAGGCCTATTTATAGTTGAGTTTTAATGACTAAACTTATAAATAACCTAATATTTTAGGATTAAACATGAAAAATAAGTTGGCCACCTACCAAAGAATTTTCCAATGTGTACAAGTTAGCCACCAAATATGAAATTCTCATGTTCAAAGTTTGGCCACCAACCAAGATGAAATTTCCAATTTGTCAACTTAATTTCAAGCCAAATCTAACAATTGTAACTTGGAATATTGTCTTCATGGTGAGATGCACATGGTTAATTTTGATGAAAGCATGATTGCTACCAGTTTTATTATTATATTTCGATGAAAGATATTGAAACTTGATCGAATTCTAATCAAATAACGAACACCAAATTTTAAACCGAGCTCAAGGTTGGCATTTTCAGCTCAATCACAACGAAGGCTGATGATACTGCATCGTCAGTATAAGTAAAAGAACAAGAGAACACCTGTAGTGGGGCACGCCACTAATTTAATAAACCATCATACCACTTAAGGTAGCCTATTACTTCTCTGATACACACAAATAAAATATCAATAATATTGGTAACTGAGCACCCAAGAGAAAGATAGACGGGGGAGTTTGATTGCAGAGACGAGTGGGCACATGTATATTGTTAATACGACAGGCAATGGGGCCAACCTGAAAGCAGCAACAATTCCAAGTAGGGATCTGTTGACAAGTGTTGCCTGTTTCAATCTGTCATGGCTAAAAGATAGAATCATGCCTACAGTGAAAATGTCGCAATATCAACTTGCATTTTGTTGTTATTAATGGCTCGACTGATCAATAGATTTGTCGATACCCCATCCTCTCCTGACTCATCACTGTTTTCATTCACATCGCTGATGGTTTTCCTATAGTAAAGTGAAAATCTTTGTCTCCTACTTGGCACCAACGTATGTGCTTGCCAGACGAGCCTTGCACTGAAGAGAAATATTTGTTTTTACAATGGAAATTGGCTTTGTACGCGCTAGCTGTTTTAGAGACGTGGGTCATGGGGTTAAATTCCAGGAACCAATGGATCCCAGTACAGTGGAACATTTGATTCGAGTATCTCGTGAAAGAATCAAAGAATCTGGTTTCATTGGCTGGCCCGACAACTCCAAGTCTCACAACTAAACTTTGCTGATTCTTTCCCCTAGTACGTCTGCGTCACCTTTTTCAGACATTACACTTATTGAACCCGTAAAAAAAATTAATCATCCCTCCAATAACGATGTTTAAAATTTTCAGTAGGGTTGTAGATTTGTTGCTGAGAGGAGGAGAGATTGGACTCTTCCAAAACATAAATGAAAGGGGACCCAGATCCCAAACAATGATGGGATAAATTTGCTGATTATGGCAAGTGTAATTGAGTTGTCATTATGCGTGTTTTGGTGCATAAGGACACCAGCAGTGGGTCATGTGAGGGCTTAATTAGTTGCATCTCTAAGGAATATTTAAATGTGAATCAGCAGATCCCATGGTATTGGATGGTTTTTTTTTCTTTTGATATGATTGCGGCCAATTGATTCTCCTCCGTTCACTTGCTGGGTCTGCCGTAAATGGAATGCAAATAACTGCGTACTATAATATATACCAAAAGTTATGCAGTAACAAAATATGGAAAATAAGTGACCGCCCTGTTAACAAAGCATAGGATACTGATTAACAAATATGGATCCATATATTAGGTACACAGATTTGGTTCAGGGAAGGGGGTCCATGGGGCAGGTCCGGTCACTGCGAACCCGTGTCCCACCCCCTTCACAATAGAAACATGTTTTATTTTCTACAAGTCGATATTTTACAGCATGCTATTTGATATTCATTTTATTTCCTAGTCGTTAGTCCTTTTTACCGAAATATAATATTTTTTAAGATTATATATAGAATCGATATTTAAAATAAATTATTTATAATGAATGAGTAATAAAGCCGCAAATTCAGTAAAATGCATTTTCAATTTAAAAAAATTGAATAAAAGTTAATCAAGAGATTAATATTTTCACATAAAACTAATAAAGAGGTTTAATGTTACATAACTAAAGCATTAATCTTACCATTTAATAAAAAATATTTTTATTAAAAATATGCATAATTAAAACATTACTTATAATATAATTTAAACTTAAAATCTATTGATAATTAATTTAAACCTTAACTACGAAATTAAAAATACACATTTTAATGTTTTTGAAAAATACGACTAACTTCACGTTTCTTTTAATTCAATCAACAGAATATGTTTTGGGTATCAAATCAAAATTTAAACAGTGTCAAATAAATTTACCTAATAATTACTTACTCACGGTATTTATAATTATATACAATATCTTTTTTCAAAAGAATCAATTCCATGAGCATAAATATATTATTTGATATGAGTAAAAATTTCAAACTCTTCCATAAATTCATCTTAAAATCAGGTAAAATAAATTTAATAGCGAAATTTTAAAAAATAAACTCAAGTACATTTTGTGTGTGTGGCAAAACAGGCCTAATATTGGACTTTAAATGTTTATGAATTTGAAAGGGTGGTTAAGTTTTTTTCATTCACTTCGGGGGGGGGGGGATTGTTAGTTTGAATTAAATTAATATTTATAATGATTAATTTATTAAAAATATTTTAAAAATCATATTATTGTACCAAAAAGGCCCCGCACATTGTATGTTTCTATTGTCAACCGCTAAATGTGGCAATCACATCAGAGACTTTTGCTTTTCGTAACCCTCATCCACAAGTGGGATTAATTTAACCTTTAAACCACCCAAATTAAATAAAATATTAACAAATTATATAAACTTATATTACCTCTGCTAAACCATCAATCGTGGAAGGCCATTAGGACAATTTTCTGCCCACAACCATCATTACTACATTAGTATCTTCCACAAGCAATTTTTTTAACTTAGCCATTTGCTACGTGGTGTGTTGTGGATGCGACACTTGGGACCCAACTTACGCAGTTATACACGTGTTAGAACACGGGGTTAGTGTCAGCATCTACGTGGATTGAGGGCCCCATACTTTTAGATGAAAAATTGATGCAGTCAAAAAAGATGGAGGGCTCCACTAACAAAAGAGGTGAATGGAATCTGACGTGGATATATATATCAACGTCATCTGAATATTTTATCTGGAAAAATGCGTATTGCGTGCCTACTACACGCTTGACGCTTCTTAGTTAATGTTAAGGAAGTCTCACCTTGATAGGATAAATCAATATTAAATTAAATAAACTCTCAAAACTTAATAAATCAAATACTAATTAAATCAAGAACTTAAATCGATTCATTCGTTTAATTCGTTTAATCAACCATGTAATCTCTAAAAACGTAAGCACAAAATTTATTGGTAAAAAGAAGAAGAAAGAAAAGCAAGAAAAATATATCTGTATAAATACGTGAAGTGAATAGCGAAGTTATTTATAACTTACAAGGAATGATCCAAAATACAATTTAAGTTTGTCGTTTACTTCCAGGATTTCGTACAGCAACCAAGTGTGATGTTTCACACGCTCAGAGAAGAGAGCGTGTGGGACTACTCTTCTTCTTCTCTCTTAGTCCTTTATTATTTTATTTATTTGCCATGGTACAGTTCCGTCTTAATATTGGCATCTCCCATTTTCTCACCGTTGATCTGATTGAAGGTTGTGGGAGTGAGATGAAATGAGGACAAAATGATTTCCAAATTCACATGAAATGGAAATGGCTTCCACTGTCGCATTCCCCAAATGCTATATATTAATGGCTTCCCCCTTCAAAGCCTCCTTATGTTGGAGTCCCTTCTCTAATCGACTCCATTTCAAATTACCCCACCCTCTTTTCTCCATTCCCTCTTAGATATTATTCTTAATTTTCTTTTTTTTAATTCCCTTCTTTAATTTTTTTTTTTCAATTCCTTTTCTCGATATTTGATATTTGGTTTTTGATATTGAATAGTATTTGGTTGTTTGATGGCGAAAGGCCGGCGGTTAACCACCAGCAGAAGCGAGCGGTTTCTAAGAAGCTTTAGCTACGGGTACGGCCAAGGGGGCACTGCCGTTGACGACGCGGAACTTGGTGAGGAAGATGTTTGGCCGATAGGTGATAACGTCGAAGACGGAGACGACGACGGCACTGTCGATAATTCTCGACGCCCGTGGAGCTCACGCGCTGAAGCTGAGAGTAATGGGAATTTGGACGCGAGGGGGAGTTATCGCCGTCGAATTCCACGAGGCGATCGCCACTTGGGTGGGCTGTCCTTGGCTTTCGAGGATTCTTCAACGAAACCTAGGATCGTGCACCAGGTTTGTAGTCAAGACGGCGTGGGGGCAGCAGCTTCTCCACGTGGGCACCATATGGCCACGTCAGCTCCAGTGAACGTGCCTGACTGGAGTAAGATTTACAGAGTTAACTCGGTGGAGTGGGTACATGGCTCGGATGATGGGTTGGATGACGGTGATTCGGAGATGGTGCCGCCACACGAATACTTGGCGCGTGTGTACGCTCAGAGTAAGAAATCTAACGGCGCTTCGGTGTTCGAAGGCGTGGGTCGGACCCTCAAGGGCCGGGATATGAGCCGGGTCAGGGATGCAGTATGGAGCCAAACTGGGTTCGATGGTTAACCAATTTGGATGCAGTATGGATTAATCTTTTTTGTTAATTGGGCAATGATTCGGCTGAGTTGACACAGATGAGTCAACTTGGTGGCGAGGGAGCTCAAGCAGGATTTTGTATTGAGGTGTACTAAAACCAAACCGTGTTATTGGATTGGAAATTGGAAGTTAAATTGTGTTTCAATTTTCTCTAATAGTCATAATTTTAGAACCAAAATAAGCTAAGGAAAACCAAAACTGTTGGACACAAACTTCAATTTTAGGGCATCCATAATCTCACTGGTACAATAACTCCAATAAGCCTTTGTTTGAAAACTGTTCCGCACTTTCCAAAAAACTGCCTCTAATTTGAAGGATACCATTTAGGTCCTTCCAGAACATACTTCTATTTGAAACTATGCTATTCATAAATTACACATACCGAAATTTAAATTATATTTTTCAAATTTGTTTTTGACTCGTAAATTATTTAGCTTCATTGTACTTAACCAAAAATTTAATTACATTTTGTTAAAAAAATCAATTAACGTCAACTTTACATTTAATGCGGACAATAAAAATGATCTTATTTCTAAAATGTTTTGAATGGAGAATACACATTTATGAGAATAATAATCATTGAAAATTAATTATCATAATAATATTAAAATAATAGTTAAAAAGGCATTATCCTTTTTAATCACGTAAAATAAAGATGTATTCAGTTTTGTCATGTCTTGTTAAAGATGCTTTTAATTATATGTGTGTTTGTTTTAAGTGATAAAACATGTCAAAAATTTTATTTTAATTATATGTGAGGGTAAAATGTAATTAACTAAATGTCTTTATCATATATATAAATAATTTTATAAATCTAACTATAATAAAGATTTTTAATGAATATTATTTTCATAAAATAACTAAATTGAATTTAAAATTAATCGTCTATGTCCTTTTAAATATGCTTAAAAGTTATTATTAAGTGTATTAGTTTGCTATGCTAGTTTTCTTTCATTGGTAAGTCGTTGACCTCTTTTTCTTTTTATCTTTGTTGATGGACGACGACACCAATTTTAATATTAGTTGCCGACAACTAGTATTTTTTAATTATCTTTTTATTTTCTCTTAGTTTTTATTTTTATTTTCAATAAGTATGCATATATGACATGTTTTCATGTTATTTGGCCGTTGTTTGCATTTATTTTTAAGAGTTGATTAGACATCACCGTGACTGATCAAGATGGACATATGTGTCTATTTATTATATTGTTGATATTCCCTGCTTGAAACCTCTGATTGAATTTGGATACTTGTTATGTGTTCGTTGATAGTTTTTCACGTCGCTCAAGTTGATTTGCAGTTTGTTAGTGGTCTTTCAATAGTTTGATCTCATTTTGTGGTTTGTTTGCCGATGCGATCAGATCTGTTTGTATCTATCTTTGTTAGAGTTTTCTTGGTTAGATTTTAATCTTTCTTTGTATGGTCTTATGTGATCTTAATTGTTAGTTTTGCTTCAATGATTATAGAAAATTGTCCTAATTATATGCTTAATTTGCTATTATAATTGTAATTCTTTATTGTGATTTAGGATATTTCCTATTTTAAATAAAATTAGTGATTTCTTAAAAAAAATAAAAAGTGTATTAGTAATCTATGAAAAGTTAATTTTATTGTATAATCTTAATTTGATTGACGTTTAATTAATTTACGGCATCAACTTAATAAAAGATATTATTATAAATATAAATACTCAAATGAATAACACATCAACTTAATAAAAGATGTTATTATAAATATAAATACTCAAATGAATAACATGTTGTATGTTTTGATTTATTTAAACTCTTATTTCCCATGTGTTTGTAACAAAATAAGTGTCAATTAAATTATGATTCAATTAATATATTACATGAAAATTTGAAATAATACAAATAACATTATTATTTGATTTACAATATGAATTTTTAGCTAATTCAGTAATTGTGATTCATGACATCGAATTCATTTAACGTTTTTCAATACTGTAATGCAGAGAGAATTGCAAGTGGAACAAAGCGAGTATGAAGGAGTACTTACGAAGAGGGTAAAAAGAAATAACCAAAGCCAAAATTGATGTATGGAAGGAAATGAAGGCAAAATGGATTTAGATTGAATGTGATGGGTGGGGAGAAAATAGGGTGAGGACCCATGATAACACAACTAGACGGCAACAATGCTCCAGGAGAGTGAGAGACAGCGCTTGGGTAGCCAAAGATGAAACAAGAATGTAGGATGATGCTTGAATGGGGCATTTGCCTTTTTGCGAGAATATGACTTTCAAGTCCTCAAATTCTGTAGATTTAGAACCATTGCATCCACTCTTTTTTTCTCTCTTTGGATATTTTGGGGGGCCAGTGGTTGCTCACAATGGGTTATTGGTTAAAGCTGTTTTGTTCTTAGATTCTTTTGTGTGATCCATGCAATTTGACATCACTTCCAAACCAAAAATGAAACAGCAATATCTCTTCTCTATCCTCACAACTCCCCTCTTCCAAGTCTTTAACTTCCTTGTTGATTGGTTGTTAAGATTCGCAGTGTTATTGTCCAAACCCAATATTAGGAAACCAAAAGCTCTTTGGGTTTATCTACAAAAAGTTGTGTCCGTCTAACATAGAAAATTGAAAACGAAATCTTTGCGATTTACAAGAATCTGGGCTCACTGGCTTTGGCCCTTTTTTAACCTTATAATTTGTGTCGGCAAATAACAGGTACTTATCTCGTAGGATGGCAAGCCTATGGGTGATGAAACTCTATTTGGGCTTGACTACCTGATTTAGACATCGTTATTCAAGCTCCGCCCACACACATAAGAGAAAACCCATAAAATCTCTGGCATTGCCAATATCAATAATATTTGCATATTGTAGGTAAGCTTCAGTGTAAACTTTTATTTGAAGGTGTATAGTGTAACTTTTTTGAAGGTGTATGTAAATAAATTTTTAAGGTAAATATGATTAATAAAAGAAAACTGATCGAATAAAATTTAGATTTTAGGGCGTGTAATTTGCAAATCTCAATCCTATTTGTATTCGTCACTTATTAAAGCTCGTATTATAATAGAACGTAACATTATGAAACTTTCAAACACGCTTCACTAGACAAGAAATATTTGTACATCTTCCACCCGTAACACCACCAACTTGCAATTCTTTAGCCACATGGGAGTTTTAAAAAATTAATTTAATTTAATTTATTGTATTAAGAAAATAAAAGTAAAAATTTTACATATCCGTTATTTAAAAAATATTATATTAGCCAAAATAGTTAAATTTAGTTTATTGTGTTAAAAAAACTTAACATATTCGTTGTTTTTTTAAAAAATAATATTAAAATTTTAAATTAAAATTCCGAATCTCTAATCTTTAATTTTTAGATCCATTCTTAACTACAAGATTCGTATTTCATAGTGTTTCACGCCATATAAATTGCAGACGTGTAGCAAAAGAGAAAGTTCAAGTTGATAATAACTCGTTACCAATAATCCCAACTTTAAATAGTTATATAGTAGATGAATGAATGAAATGATATAATTAATGGCCATCACTATCGATGCCATCTCCGTACATTGGACCCTTTGTCCATAGCGTTATAATTCATATTATAGTGTAGGTTTCCTTGACTGAGAGTCGGGTCCCCCCCCCCCCAACAAAATATATATATATATATATATATATATATATATATATATATATATAAATCAAAGACTCATATCCACTCTATGTGTGTATATTTCTTTGATCAACAGAGATTCAACCCAGTTAAATATCCCATTGGCTGGAATCTCTTTACCCAATTTGGTGGACACTTGGAGGGCCATAGTCTCTTTTATATTGTCGTCCTCGGGATGGGTCTTTTTCATAATGACACATATCCATATAATGTGCACTCATCAGCACGATGTCGTAATCGGGAAGGAAGGGGTATTTGCATCATTCATCATAACTATTAAAATCATTTAAATCCATGCATCATACACAATCAACACCATCCTTACATACATACATTACATCATCCATCCTAACATCCACAGCGCCCGTGACTAACATCCATCCTAAAAACTGCAATTGACAATATCAAACCAGTACACCATTATCCATTACTGATCACTGAACAAAAAACAAACTTCACTAGGACAAGAAACAACCATTTTATCGGCCACATACGGCTCTCTTTAGCGAAGAAGAAGCATTTTAGTGAAGCTTGTTTGCAAGATTGCACTGCTTCCTGATCTCACCCTTGGTACCGGTGAGAGGGTTGTTCTCGGAGAGGAGAGTAATGGCCCTGGAGAACTCCTTGAAGAAATAGTCTTGGCTCTTGGCCATTTTCTTCACGTAAGGTCTGGTCCTTTTGTCATAAGCCAGTTGGTGGTCCACAATCAACAAGCCTTTGTTGTCCAGTATGTTTCTGTAGTAGTAGTTGTCCAGAACCATGGGTGTCCCACGGTCGTTTCTCACGTACTGCACGGCCTTGGGGTCTGGGATCTGATCAGGGCACTTATGGAGCATGTGTGGAATATGGTCAGGGTTGAGTGCAGGGTCAACCTCTGGGTACAAACGGTGCACCAGCTTCACACAGTGAGTTCTGCCGACACTGTGAGCTCCTGTTTGCACAATATAGAAAACTAAACTTGAGCCAAAAAGATTCGACAAACATAGTCGCATGCATTATTACTGATGTTCGTGTAAAGGTGCAAAGGTTACCTAGGAGGGCAACAACTCCAGGGGTGTCATACCATGGCGGCAAATCTGTCGAGAACGCCGGAGATGGTCTCATTGTGGTCTGGAAGATACTCCTCCACAACATCTGCTCTGCTCCTTCGACCGTCTCTTCTTCCATGATACTAGGTTTTTGAGTACTTATTACGGTTAAACAAGATCTCAACGCATGAAATTGAAGTTGAAACCTCAGATTCAGAGGACTGAAAAAGCTAAAAGAAACTCTCAACAGAGACAAGTAGTGATGTAAAGAGGGATCAAAAGAAATTTTACCGAAACAATGCCTTCTCTAGCTGACAAAACAAGGATATCAGCGCAAGACACAACTCCAGGACACTCCCTTTCTACAGCTTCTTGATGTTCTCAATGTACCTGAAATTTCTTAGGCCAAAGCTCCTGTCTGTCTCCTCTCAGACAAGCTCCTTCTTGTGGAGTCTAGCAGCAGTGAAGCATCACATGACTAGTCCAAAAAAGAGATGAAAATTAAAAACAGTACATGTTAAGGTATATAAAAGCTATAAACAGAAGTTGAAAAAGACACTGTATGGACATTTACCTGAACAGCACAGTCATGGAAAATGTTTCTCAGCCAAGAAAATGCAGTGTTCTTGTGTCGTTTGTACAGTAGCTTTACTTGCTCTTTAATAATGTCTTCAGCCTGAGGACAAGTATCCTTGTAGAAGTTCATAACAAGACCTGGATCTTCCTCATTCTCTGCAAATGCAGAGGCTGCTGAAAAGCAAAGCAAAGCAAAGAAGAAGAGAGCTTTGGCACCCATATTTTTTTCTTTCACTAAACCAAAGGTCACTGGCCTTGCTTTTGATCTCTTGTGAGATGCTTGCTTAAATAATTCGGATTGTGGTATTAAAAAATAAGTACAGTCACGTGTATTTTTTACACTTGTCCTTAATACTATGCAGCATTTACGAGGTTAGGAACACCTGTAACAGTTAAACAACGGGAAATGCAGAGATTCTTGAGTTAAAAAGAAAGATTGACAGAGGGACCGAGACCCAAAGCCAGTTGATCCAACGGTGTGTGGTGGAAGATCTGGCAATGAAGCTGTAATATTGAAATCCCATGTCAAAATCAAATTAACCTTTTAAGGTAAGTTCCTAGAAGATTTTTGAAACATGGCTGCAAAATATCCGGTTTTGCTGTTGTTGAAAGATGTTGAACCGGGATCTTACTGTTACTCTGTCTCTCGTACAAGATTTGTTCTTTCCATAATCAGTAAAACCTATAAAAATATGCGAAATATTGATGCAAAATTAAGGGTTGATTTGTTAACAGTCCCGTGGGTTGTTATTTACACTCACGTTTGGTCCATGAGGGTTGGTACAAGTGGTTGAGATTGAAAAATTTGAGTTTATAAGGTAAAGTTCGAATTTTACCACATTACTATTAAGAAGTAATATGTAAATTCCTAAGTAATCTTAATTTAATCTTAGGTATATTCTGACCCTGAACTCGAAAACTACTCCTAATTTTTTATGTACATAAAAAAAATACACACATTAGTGATTTGTGAAGGGTTAGTATTTCTATTGTTGCAATTCAGGATCTCAAGGAGTAAGGCTAGATTTCTCATATATATATATATTATATATATATATATATATATATATATATATATATATATATATATATATATATAAAACTACGTATTTAATACTTAAATTATTATTTTTGTTTTGTTTTGGTATCTATTTTTTTTCAAAGTCATACCTAAATATAATTTAGGTTTTATTTTGATATCTCACCGTTAAAAACTTAATGAAACTGCTATACACCTGACACTTTGAACTTTCACATGCATGTCGGTTTCCTACCGTTTTTCCCCATTTGTGCTCGCCTTTATTGAGTTTGGTTAATAAATTATAGTTGAGGGGATAAATAGTAAATTTTGGAGGTTTAGATTGAACAAATAAAAATTAGAGATTTGTATATGGAATGTATCTTTAATAGAAGTAATAATTATGGATAGATGAGGATTTTTTTTTATTAGAATAAAGGCATTTACTGTTTAATAATGTCCCATTGTTTAGATAAAAAAATTACAATAAAAGAGTCAGAATATCAAAACTGAAATTTATGCCAATGAAATCTTTGCAAAAAATAATACCACTCTGGTATGTGAGGATTTTTTTTTAATAATCTGGAGTGTATACAAGATAATAGATGTTCAAAGATTCAATTATTTAATATTCAATGTACATATATTCATGCATTTATCGTGCTCGAACTCAAAATCTCAAAGAATAACAACAATTATTTATCTATTAAATTCGTTTAATTCTTATCCATAAATAAGAGTAATGCGATGTTTCAAGTACATAGGAGATACTACAAAAAAATTTGAAAGATTGGTAGAGATAATTAATAGTAGGGCTGAGAAAACAGATAAGTTAAAAGGGAGTGGTAATAAAATATAAAATTGAACAGGGCCATGAAAAAGAAACAAGGACATTAGATTCGTCTAGATCTTGGATGGAAAGAAGCAACCCACTAGCCTGGGTAGTTCTGCGGTGCGGTACATAAAAAACGGTTAATATACTGTGTAATCGGTTAAACAAGTG